TTTTTTTTTTTTTTTTTTTTTTTTTTTTTTTTTTTTTTTTTTTTTTTTTTTTTTTTTGTATAATTTAAAATTAAAAAATAAACATTTATGTATATTTTCTTAATTTCGTACACAAGTTATTATCTTGTGATTAGGGCTTGAGGCCCCTTAACGAGTTACCAAATGGGTTGGGCCTAAGGTAAAATGAATTTTATTTAATTGTGTAACGATGGGTTTCAACAATCCGTTGTAGTCTAGTTGGTCAGGATATTCGGCTCTCACCCGAAAGACCCGGGTTCAAATCCCGGCAACGGAAATTTTGCATTTTTAAAATTTATCGGGGTCGTTGGGCCTATGTCAGAGACCTTTTGGGCTTGAGGGGCTTAAGAGGGCCAGAGATGTTAGAGTGTTGACCAATTCATTAGGATTTATCGCTATATTGTTAATGGTCTTCTTTTATTTATTTTTTAAAGCGTAAGTTTGCGTCACACTATTAAAAATCTAAATTCAAGTGCAATATTTATTTATTTATTTATTTTGTTGTTAAAAATCTAAATTCAAGTGCAATATATATTTATTTATTTATTTTGTTGCTTGACTTAGTAAAATAAGGAGTATTTTAATGAGGCACCATATAATCACACTATGACATCATTATTTATTTCTCCTCATGCTTGATTTTTTAATGATTGTAATATAATATTATTTCATTTATCAAAATTCAAAACCCACTAGTTTTTTTTTTTAATAAAGTAAGTAATAATCAAGCTTAGACTCCTAATCATTACTTAGCCCATTTTGGTAATTTTGCTTTGCTTTATGGCCTTTTTAGTTGACAATTTTGAACCAAAAGTAACGCTGAAAACATGGAGTTAGTTTGAAAGGGAATATTTATTTCTGAAAATTACTTGGTTTATCGGATATCAATACACCAATCTCTTGACCTTGACTTATCACTTAGAGATAAGATAAGGGTCTCTTTAGATTGATAATTGGAACATTTGACTTTTGGATTTTATAAATAATAATAATTGAAGCTATTTTCCTATTTAATATTAAATTTTCTTTACTTCTTAGATAAAACTATTAAATAGAATCATTCTACTTCTCTATACAATAAATAAATTAACGGTATTTAGATATAAATTGAATTCAAAGATTTGTTTGACAAAAAAAAAAAAAAAAAAA